TTTTGCTCAAAGAGTGCGTAAATCTTCCTTTTTTAATGCATAATTTTCACAAGGGCACCTGCTTGAATGTTATGTGGTATGTTTTGACCTCAACGTATGCAGTTGTTTTATATTTTGTTTGTCAGAATACCTACAACTGTGACCATAAAACCTAAAATTTTGGTCTTTAGAGTCCCAATTTTGCTACAGACCATTTTGTTCAAATTAAGCAGCAAAATTTGTTTCAAGGAAGTTCTTGTTGGATAGATTTAACGAGAATTACTGCTTTTTGTAAAATGAGTCATGCGCAGAGATTAAATTATGGGTACAGCTATTTTCACCAAGATAACTAATCTCAGAAAGTAGAAAATTGCCATAATTTGTCCTGTTTATATAAAAAATAACCTGGTGACTTTTTAAAAGCGACTTATTTACATCAATTTAAAAGATGTGATCGCAACTGCACGAAAAGTGCATTGAATTGCTGAATTTCTTGTTTCAAGTTTCATAAATAGTCACAATGAGTTTTCGCGCAAACAGTAACTGGCATTAATGTCACCATTATGGACAAAAAGAGCTTAATCACTTTGTAGCTGATCAACTTTATATGAAATTCATTTTGGTGCAAATCCTGTGGGCGATGTGCTGGTGGGGAGGGTAGGGGGTGGCGAGCGGTCAGAATAAATCACATCAGCCTCTAGAGCTCTCTCCAGTCTATTTAATTCTACCATCCATGAAAGTGGCGTTTGCCCGCTGAACGGGAGATAAAGCTATGGAAGTGAGGATTTCTCTATTCCCTTTCTTCAGTGTCACGCTTGAGAGTAGGTTATACAAAAATTAAGTGCGAAGTTGCTTTTGGCAGCCTTGTTCTTGTTAAATCCCCTTAACATGAGGAACTGCTTGCCTGTAATATTAGTCAATTTCTGCAAGTGTTTTGTAGATACTGGCACCAGACTAACCCCATTTGCAGGCTAAATTATTGCCATGATATGTCGTAGCTGTGTGAATGGATCTAACGACTTCGTTGAATTACTTTGTCATTATTTTCAAAGGTGTTGGCACATCTGCACCGAACGTGACATCGTACTCCAAGGAGCCAGGGACTGCTGATGTCTGCCTAATTGGTCAGACAGCAACCTCTGTGCAGGTGAACAGAGATCTTCTGTGCAGTGCTTGCAAGGCAGACGACATAGGTCGAATGAATCGGTGCTACCTTGTCTGGGTCAACTTGCAAATCACTTTTTGGAGATTGCGACGTACTTGGACTTGATTTCATTTCCCCATGTTGATATTATGGATATTACCAGCAATATAGTTGCCGTACTAATTTAATGTTGCCTTCGCAATTAGCTGTCGCGCATTCCATCTTGTTCAAAGATGTTGAGCATACAAATTCTTACGTGCATGCACTCCGGTTCTGGTTGTTCCACTGGATCTGTACCCCCGATGAGGACTGTAGTTGCCTCAAATCGCGAGGATGCAAAGATGAGTATAGTTGTCTAGTTTACTGGGCAACCATAGAAGCTCGTGTGATTTCCATATGATGGAACTGGTAGCAGCCTGTAGAGTGGATCCAGGTGTCCCTTGTGTGTGTACCAACCGTCCTTCGCTCTACTCTGTGCTACTCTCATAGCTTGAGGCTCTGATATTGGGAGATGGCATTTGAGTCATTTAGTGACCATGGTTCTGGGTTGTGCGCTTTGCAAACCGAATTCGCTGTCGCAATTTCTGCACCGTAGTGCCTCATAATCGGGCCACGATGAAGAGACCTAAGATGATGGTTTGTTTTGTACTTAACCAGTACCAGATGTCCATCGGATAGTGTAAAGGTAAGAGGTGCTTATTCCTACCTGTAGGAGTGGGTGTACCTCCTTTCGATAGGTCTGGGTACAAACACGCTCGTGATTATCCCTCATTTTATCCATCAACTGCCAAACAACATGAAACTGGGCGTTCGTACGTCAGTGAGGTGGAGTGAAGTAAACAAGCTGAACTCATGTCGAACACTAGTAGTCCGGTGGCGATCACATGCGATGAATGCTCTCTTGATGGTCCAAATTTTGTAAGCCAGTTTTAAAGTGTCTGCGTGGTCTGCAACTGCCCATCGGCTCAAACGATATTTAAATTTTACAGTAAATTTACCATGTAATGAGATTTATGTTAAAACCTTACTTTGTAAAGGAGTTAGAAGTTCACACAGGACTATTTCTTCACTAAACGGAATTTTGTGTGTTCATTAACTACACTATCATTACTGACTCAGCTAGATAGAAATGAATTGGGTGACGTAATTTTAATACTTTTATAAAATGTGGTTGCTTAAGAGGTCTGTGTCCTTTAAAGACGCTTCAGCAAAAACAATCCATTGGCTTATCGCCTTTTAAGCTAACTTGACGACTACCGGCCTCAGCAGTATCGCTGCTGAGCTCAGTTTGAACAGCGTTAGAGTAGGCAATTCCTGTCTCGCAAAGTAGTTGCCACTCCCTTTGGTTCGTTTGTGAGCTGCAACTTTGTGATCGAAAGAAATTATGCCCCCAAGAGTTTGACCATCGTTTATTTTGACCTGTGCCTTATGTGCGAAAGCCCTATAGCCTGAAGTCGTCATATTTTTAATGCTCGTTTTCTAGCAATGAATCCATTCCACACCAAGGTAGCTTAAACAGGAACATTTTTGGAGTTTATAAGAGTAATTTAGGTAGTTTCAAAAAATAGGACTAACAAAATTTCAAATGATTATTTTTTGATATGTGACTACGTTTTATTTTGCTTGCATTCATAATATTTCCGGATAGGAAACTCTTGTGAAATGTGACTTTGGTAGAGCAATCGCTGCTAACCTTATCTTAGGTCAAACGTTATTGGTTGATTAACTCAATTCACATTCCATGGACTAGTTGAACAGGGAGATTGGTTACTCATCCTCACCTCAAACGCTGGAGTGCACCCTTTTGCAATTTTTGTCAAGTAATGCTTGTCAGAGTATTTCGTTTCTTTTGAACGCTTAGCGCCGCTGTCGGCAAGAAAAGAAAGTTCTATGTCTTTCTCCTGATCCGCGCCCTGATTCTGTACCCCCGTCCATTCACGTAATTAGTGATACTGAAAGCCGATACGCGAATATTTGATCACCCTCTTTACCAAGTTGGTAAGGGAGACTCGCTGTTCCAGAGCATCTTAGGCTAACACAGTTATGGACGTTTGCGGTTCGGTAGACTCAAGTCGGAGCAGTAATGGCACAGGATTACAGTCTAAGCCAAAATAGGACTGCTATTAAGGGTAGAAAATCCATAGAAAAGCAAGGGCATTTGACGTGCAGCATTAGTGCAGCATTACCCAAGGATTGAATGCAGCATTTTAGTGTCAACCAAATGAAAGTAGTCTTGGCCTAAGCAGCTGCATTCAGGACAATTCTAACATCGCTTAACATGGTGGCTATCCTATTTGACCATATAAATAACGCACCCACGTTATTTATATGGTGCGTTCCGTTTTCCGTCTCATTGACCACTGGGCGCCCTATCTCTT